AATAGAATAGAATAGAATAGAATAGAATAGAATAGAATAGAATAGAAATTCAATGTAAACTGCTCCAAACTTGATTGCAGAAAGTACGACTTCAGCAACAGAGTGGTCAATGCCTGGAATGCACTACTTGACTCTGTTGTTACATCCTCAAACCCCCACTCCTTTAACCTCAAATTAACCACTATCGACCTCACCCCATTCCTAAGAGGTCTGTAAGGGGCGTGCATAAGTGCACCATTGTGCCCAGGGGTGGGATTAAAATTTTAAACAACCAGTTCTATGGGCATGGCTTAGTTTGTGGGCATGGCTTGGTGGTCATGTGACTGGGTGGACATGGCTTGGTGGTCATATTATTGGCTGGGCGTGGTCAACTCTACATCACTCACATCGAGGCACACATCTCCTTGCCTGGCCTCTCATGATGGTGGGGATGCTGCAACAGTCGTAAGTGTGAAAATGGGTCATAAGTCACTTTTTTCAGTGCCATTGTAACTTTGAATGGTCACTCCACACAAGCAAAGTGCCAGCAAAGGAGGAAAAAAAACTCAGAGAAGTTCCTGAGACAGGAAGTCTAGTCCTGCCAAGAATGTAATAAGGGTTAATGAAGAGGCAGTTTCTGTAAGCAACCCCAGAATGTTTCCTTCCTGCCTTCCTTACAGGATTAGGCCAGTAACTTCTTCTAATAACTGGTTCTCCTAACTGCTCAGAATGTTAACAACCGGTTCTAGCGAAGAGGTGCAAACTGGTAGAATCCTACCTGATCGTGCCTCCCATCCCTGTCCCCATTTATCTGTACCTATTTCCTGTATTCTTATTCAAGTTTATACTTGTACCTATTATCTTGTAAGCGACTGACCAATCAAATAAATAAATAAATAAAAATAAACAGATACAAACTCCAGGTAAACCGCTTCAAACTTGATTGCAGAAAATACGACTTCAGCAACAGAGTGGTCAATGCCTGGAATGCCCCATCCGACTCCGTTGTCACAGCCTCAACCCCTCACAGCTTCAACCTCAAACTGTCTACCATGGACCTCACCCCATTCCTTTTTAAAAAAAAAGTTTTTTATTTTATTTTTTTAACCAAACCAACAAATAAAACCTTTCAGTTATACAGTGTGTCGGCTGGGTACATATATTGTTGTCGCTGTATGACTATAACTTTGTTGCTTGTCTCCTTATGATTTATATTGACTGTTTCCTAGTATGATTTGATTGCTGATTGTACCCTATGACTATCATTAAGTGTTGTACGTTATGATTCTTGATTCTTAACGAATGTACCTTTTCTTTTATGTATACTGAGAGTATTTACACCAAGACAAATTCCTTGTGTGTCCAATCACACTTGGCCAATAAAGTATTCTATATATCTTGTGCACAAAATATTTGTATACATTTCTTATTGAGTTTACGTTCATGTTATATTCTAATCAACTTTATATATCATATCATTATTACAATATCATTAGGGTTTTTTTTAAATTTCAAGACCTCACCCCATTCCTAAGAGGTCCTTAAAGGGGGCCTGCATAAGCGCACCAGCGTGCCTACCGTCCCTGTTCTACTGTCCCCATGTATCTGTATTTACTGCCTTTGTTATGTTCATACCTATACTTGTTATCTTGTACATGTTTGACAAATAAACAAATAAATAACGTGGCTGAAGTTTGCCAAATGCCCAAGTTGGATACTTAAGTCATTGCTTTCCCTGATTTTCCCCCCCTCCCCTCTTTCTGTTTATAGAATACTTTTATTGTCATTGCATTCCACGAATACAATGAAATTTGAAAGCTACTCCAGCACAGTGCCCTAAACACATCACAATCACACTAGAGTATTTAAAAATTAAAATAATTATAATAATAGAACTGAATCACAAATGCACTGTTTGTTTAGATTTTTTTGCTATTGTTCTCTGCTTTTGCATTGTTTATTTGACTCTTTTTGGGGGGGGCAATATATATTTATATTTTATATTTTAATTTAAATTTACATGCTGCCCCTCTCTCTTAGAGGCGGGTTACATTGTGTGGATAACCTTTAAAAGAAAAAAAAGAATGAAGAAGTCTGGGCTAAAGCACCGGGTGCGAATCCAAGCTGGTACTCCCCATCCCTCCAGGGGCATGGCAACGGGGATCGGGAAACCCATCCTGCGTTTCTTTCCACGGGACCCACGAGACTACACCGCTAAACTTCCCCGGGCGGCTTCCGCGCCTGCGCTTTAACGCCGCCGCCCCGCGCGCGCGCGCGCGCGGGATTCGAATCCTTCTCCTTTTCCCCAGGGCGAGGGAGCTTTTTTTTTTTTCCCGCTCGTCCCGCCCTTCGCCCCGCCCTCCGTCCAATCCGCGGCTCTTGCTAGGTTTAAAAAAGAGAGAGCGCGAGGTGACCGGCTCTTAAAAAAAAGAAAATAAAATAAAAGGGGGCGTGGTTCTAACTCGGCCCGCCCACTCTCAAGCGATTGGCTAGTTCGCGAGCCTCCGAAGGGCGGGGCTAAAGGTTTTAGAGCGGTAGGCAGCTTTAGTAAAGGGGGAGGAGCCTTCGCAGGGCTCCGCCCCCCGGCAGGCTCGGCGCTCACTGCGAACTAGCTTCTTGGCGCCGCGTCGGCCGTTCTGCGAGCGCTGCCCGGGGAGGCGAGAGTTCACCGGCCGGCTGGCAAGGATGAAAGCGGGCGGTGAGCGGTCTCCGCGGGTCCCCTGTTTGCAAAAGCCTGGGAGTTGCCCGTAGAGCTTGGGGAGAGGATGTACCCTTTACTAAACCTTTACTTTCTTTATTTTGGGGGGTTTTTATTGAAGGGGAAGGGGTTCAAGCTTTGCTCACGCTGCTGGGATGTTCTACACGGGAGTGACTCATTCCCACGACCGTTCATCCCCGGGGGACCGGTGGTTTAGCCCCATTCCACCCTGCTTTTTTTTTGGAGAGGGGAGCCCCGCCTGGGTACGCGGGGGATGCAAGGCAGGGGGTTGGACTAGATGACCTCCAAGGTCCCTTCCAACTCATCTGTTAATCCATCACTTTATCCCCTCCTCCCTCAAATGGGTGCACCGTCTTCCCTCTTCCTTTTTTTTTTTTTTATATACCCCCGTGCAATCGTCGGAAAGCCTAATCCGGGCACGGGAGGGTAACGTGGGAACGGAGCCCCAAAGCTAGGTCGCAAGGCAAAACCGGGCTGGGAGAAATGGGATTCTGCTAGGAAAGGGTCCTCCTTTTTATCCCCCCAATGTCGATGGAGACCCTTTGGATTCTCCAGCAGCCCGTCAACTGGACAAACCCGCCGTCCCGAGGCAGAGGCGCCACCGGATGTCTTTGCAAAAAAACTTGGTTTAAAGTTGAGCTTCTCGTGGCTTGTTAGAACTTTTCCAACTTGGGCTAGCTTGTTTTTAAACCCACTTTTTTCTTTTGATAATAGTTTAGCCACCTTGCTTTTTTAATTATATATATATAGGAATATATATATTATATATATAATTTTTTAAAACCTCAACGGGGAGGACGTCCGTAGTTTTGGGCGGGTCGATTTAAAAAGTGAGCCGAGCCTATAAGAAGATCAGAGCTGGCTTGTCAGCGGTAGGGGATTGGCTTAAAGCTTCTGCATGGGCTCCATAAGACCATAATACAAGATTTTTCTTTTTTACAATAGGAATTGCCTTTGGGGTATATATATATATTTTCCTCCCCCCTTGTACCAAAAAGACAGGTAGCTCATAAGTCCAGGTTTTTCATGGATTCAGAGCAAAATTTGATATGGGGAAAAACGATTCAAAGTCTTTGAAAGGAACATAGTTATCTTTTTTTTTTTTTCATGTATGGTAAAACCAGAACTCACTTTGATTAGAAGTTTTCAAAGAAAGAAATACAATTGTGTCTATTTTAAAACAACTTCCAGCTTTTAAAAGAGTCTTAACTGCTGGCTTCAAAGCTGTGCCATGAGGTTTCACCCAGTAGAATTTTGCTGTTTTTCTCTCTTTTTGTAAAGAGAAATGGATTTTGGGAGGAAAGAATAAATAGATTTCCTTGTTTTGACTTTCCTAAACATGTTTGAATCCAAGCATTCCCCCCCACCCCCCCAAGATGAGTTACTCTAATGCAATCTGAATAGACGCACACCTCAGATATATTGTGGGTTTAATTCCACAATTAAATTCTACCCCAATAAAGTTTAATTCTACCCCAATAAAGAGAATATAGAGTCACATGATTTTTTTTTGTTTCCCTGTGAGTATAAAACTTCTGTTTACACTATAATCTATTAAAGTGTGCAATGGCATCACGTCTTGAGGAAAAAGTCAATGTACAGGCCTTAATTAAAAATCCTTTTCTTGCTTTAAAATATTAATTTTAAAGTTATTTAAAATTAGTTAGCTACTACTAAATAATAGTAAATACTAATTACTAAATATAGGTGGTCCTTGACTTGCAATCACAATGGAGCCCAACGTTTCTGCTGGTGAGACAGTTAAGTGATTTTTGCCCCCATTTTACGACTTGTCTTGCCACCGTTCTTAAATGAATCGCTGCAGTTAGTTACGCAGTTGTTAAGTGAATCCGGCTTCCCTGTTGACTTTGCTTGTCAGGAGGTCACAAAAAGTGATCCCGTGACCGCAGGAGACACTGCAGTGGTCATAAATACGAGTCAGTTGCCAAGCATCTGGATTTTGATCACATGACCGTGGAGATATGCTTGCAATTGTCATAACTAACTTTTTTCAGTACTGTTTTAACTCTGGTAACTAAAGGAAGTACTGAGCCATGGTGGCGCAGTAGTTAGAATGCAGTATTGCAGGCTAATTCTGCCGACTGTCAGCAGTTCGAATCTCAACAGGCTCAAGGTTGACTCAAACTTTCCTTTCGTGGTCGGTAAAACGAAGACCCAAATTATTGAGGGCAAGATGCTAGCTCTAAACCGCTTGGAGAGGGATATAAAGCACCGTGAAGCGGTATATAAGTCTAAGTGCTATTGCTATTGTAAGTCAAGCTCTACCTGTATGTAATTCTTATTAAAATGGATCCAAAAGGCACCAGGCTGGAAAGCGGGAGATCTTGAGTTCAAGTCCTGCCTTAAGCATGAAAACTGGCTGGCTGGCTGTGGGCCAGTCAGTGTCTTCTCAGCCCAGCTCACATTACAGAGTTGTTCTGGGGGAAATAGGAAGAGGAAGGGACGTTATGTATGTTTGCTGACTTTTGAGTTATTGTAAAAAAAAAAATAGCAAAGGCAGGAATACAAATGAATAAAATTGCCAACTTTGCCCATTTTAAAATGAGCTGAAATGTGGCGATCCTCTTTAGCAACAATTTGCTATTGCACAATCTGGGGAGATCCCATAATTAGCAAAAAGTAGCTTTTCAACAATGGTTTAAGGAGTCTTATGACATCGCCATGTCTCCTGCAGCTTCCTGGAGTCTTGCTAAAATTCCGAGACAGATCATTTTACAAAGGGTGGGTCAGGTTTGCTAGATAGCTTCTAGCCTAAGAGATCTAGGTGATCCTGCATGAGCCGGGAAAGAATTTGAAAGGATAGGATTCCCAGTTTATAAATCCTGACATATGTTAATGTTTCCATCAGTCAAAGAAATGGGTCAAACGTTTGCATCTTTGCTCAAAAGAAAAGTCACACTGAATTTTGTAGAGCTTTCTTTAAAATAAACAAGCACAGGATTTTTATGAGAGTAGGTCCGTTGTGGGAATTGGTGTAGTTTCTAGAAGAAACTCAAGGCCTGGCGATGTCATTTGGCTTGGGAGTTCTACTGCTTCCACATCGGTTCCTATCGGAGAAGAGCAGGCAGAGCTGTGGACGGAGTTAAGCAAGTCATTAGCCAAGAGTCATTATGTAGCCACAAACGTTCCGACTCCCAAATTCCGTTGACCCTCATCTGGCACCAATTTAATATTAAACTTCAGTGGACTAGTTTCTTGTTTTCGCCCTTGAGCAATAAATCTTCTCAACTGCACCTTAGATGGCCCTGATTCTTTCATAGTTCCTCTCATTTTATGGCACTGATGTCAGGATTTCCAGCAGTTACCCCCATTTAAATCATGACTCTCGAGCCAAACTTCCAAAACTTAAAAAGGACTTATTAGGAGTTAAATTGTCCGGCACTGCCTGGGTGTAGCCCAACTCTGAGACACATCATTCATTGTCACCCTTGACCCTGGTTTTCCCCCACCCCCTGACTGTATCCTAATTCATATTCTCCAATGGGACACATCCATAGCCAAGAGCCATCAATCATGCTCTCCAGTTAGAATTTTGCACGGCAGAAACTTCAGTCACCTAGTTACTATCTCTGAAAACATTGATGGAATGCACTTTCAGTTTGCAAGCTGCTGCACTGCTCCCCCCCTCCCTTTCTGTTGGCAACTCTAAAAAGACCATGGAAATACTTTACGAGTTGATAACTGGCTTTTTTGCAGTTACCCACTGCCGATGTTCCCGGTGCTTCTCGGTCCCTTCCAAGAGAAGGGTGAAGAAGAGACCCCGTATCCTGACCCTGCTGTCCCTTCCAGAAGATATTCTCTTCCACGTTCTCAAAGGTCTTCCAATAGAAGACATCCTTTCCCTCCGAGCTGTAAGTCCAAAGCTTGTTTATTTTTATTTTGCACTTTCCACATAAGGTGTTCTTGCGGAATAGTTAGTCCTACATTAGGACCCGCCATTGAGGCCAAAATGGTTGCTTGCGCCAACAATCCATTGATGCAAACAGAAGAACTTGTCCTTCCAGTCTCGCAGAATTGTTTTCCAGGGTATTCCACCTGGCTGAATGTTAATTGCCCTTAACTGAGGATTCCTTGGCTATTATGGTCTGCTTCTTCGCTCTCTTCCAGGTGCATTCTCATCTTAAGTATCTTATAGATAACCACACCTGCATTTGGGCCTGTGCAAGCTTTCAGGAACAGTGGCCGTCTCCGAGAAACTTGAATATTTTTGAAAGGTAACTTTTTAAATACTTTTTCTCAACCAACCCTAAAACCCGACTTTTTATTCAATATATCACTATCCTGAGAAGACATATTCTTGGTCAGCATTGCTGTTTTCTGTTTATTTATTCTGAAACTTGCCCAAGTCCCAAACTCATTCAATTTCCTCATCTTGTATTCTATATTAGTCAATGCTTCTTTTTCGTTTTTTTGTTTTCTTATCTTTCCTCACTTCTCCTTTCCCTCCCCGCTGTTTCCCTTATTTACTTTGCATTTTGTATTTTATATTCCTTTACAACTCAATAGAAATGTTAACTTGAAAGGTAACTTCTTAGAACTTGGGAAATCATCAGCTATGTTGCGCTATGCAAGAAGAGTTATTAAGTGACCGATTGTAGAGGTTATCACAGTGGGCAGAACAGTGAGTTTTAGTGCAAAAAAGTCTTCAATCTTTCCAATTTTCACCATCTCCCAGGGTAACTGAGAGGTTCTCTCAGGGTACCTGCATAAATAGAGGGATGGAATCCAGATCACGTGAAGTGTTAATATCACTTTATAATGCCTTGGTAAGGCCACACTTGGAATTCTGCATTCAGTTTTGGTTGCCACGATGTAAAAAAAGAAGTTGAGACTCTAGAAAGAGTGCAGAGAAAAGCAACAAAGATGATTAGGGGACTGGAGACTAAACCATAGGAAGAACAGTTGCAGGAACTGGGTATGTCTAGTCTAATGAAAAGAAGGACTGGGGTGACATGATAGCAGTGTCCTAATATCTCAGGGGCTGCCCCAGAGAAGAAGGAGTCAAGCTATTCTCCAAAGCACCTGAAGGCAAGAGAAGAAGAAATGGGTGGAAACTAATCAAGGAGAGAAGCAACTTAGAACTAAGGAGAAATTTCCTGACAGCTAGAAAAATTAATCAGTGGAACAACTTGCCTCTAGAAGTTGTGAATGCTCCAACACTGGACGTTTTAAAGAAGAGATTGGACAACCATTTATCTGAAATGTTTTAGGGTTTCCTGCCTAAGCCAGGGGTTGGACTAGAAGACCTCTAAGGTCCCTTCCAACTCTGTTATTCTATTCTATTCTAACGATGGTTTCTTCGAGAGGGGATGTTGGGTGGCCTGCCAAATGCTAAGACAGTTAAGGGGAGAATAAAACCCGGATTTGTTTTACAACTTCCCTGTATTTTGCTGAGCTCTGAATTCCTGCAAATAATGAGTCTGCTTTTCGGTTTCCCGCCCCCTCTGTGTTTATTCAGGGCTGCGGAAAAGGGTAACTTTGAAGCTGCTGTTAAACTTGGAATAGCCTACCTCTACAATGAAGGGCGTAAGTGTGTGTGCACCTCACTTTGGAGACAGTTGTTCTGGCCCTGCCAGGTTCAGCCAGGCCCAGTGTGGCTTGACACAGGGACCATGGTTGTGTCAAATAAGTCAACACGTAGATGTACACGTCTGAAAAAGAAGCCCCCTGTTCAATCACCATCCTTCCCTCCCTCTCCTTTCCTTCCTCTTCCTTGCTTTCCCTCCTTTCTGCTTCTTTCTCCTTCCTGTCTTTCCTTTTCTCCTTTCCTTCTTCGCTCCCTCCCTTTTCTTTCCTTCCATCCATCCTGGTTCTCAGCAAATCTTTTTTCCTCCCTTCCCTTTCCTTCCCTTCCCAGTTCTCATCAAATCCTTCCTTTCTTCCCTTCCTTCCATCCATCCATCATGGTTCTCACCAAATCTTTCTTTTTTCCTTCCTTCCTTCCTTCCTTCCTTCCTTCCTTCCTTCCTTCCTTCCTGGTTCTCACCAAATCTTTCTTTTTTCCTCCTTTCCCTTCCTGGTTCTCATCAAATCCTTTCCTTCCTTCCATCCATCTATCGTAGTTCTCACCAAATCTTTCCTTCCTTCCTTCCTTCCTTCCTTCCTTCCTTCCTTCCTTCCTTCTTTCTTTCTGTTTCACCAGGGAAACCTGGAGAACACCTGCCTTGCCAGACCTCCTGGGGTGGGCAGAAAACCCTGGGAACAGATGGACCCTGCTTTACGGGGTCTCCTGCCCCTTACGCTACAGCAGAGCCACGAGCATGGAACTTAGCCGGTAGTTGAAATTTCATCCTGCCTCCAAGGTTCATCATCTCTTCTCTCTCTCTCTCTCTCTCTTTAAGCATCCGTTTCCGATGAAGGCCGTGCGGAAGTGAATGGGCTCAAGGCATCCCACTTTTTCAGCCTGGCCGAGTGCTTGAACGTCTCCACCGTGCCTTTTGTCTGGCTGTTCATACGGCCCCCCTGGTCTCTGGGCGGGAGCTGTTGCAAAGCCGTGGTCTACGAGAGCCTCCGAAGAGAGTGTCAGCAGCGAAACGTAAAGCACCCTTGGTCCCGTGTCTTTCGATCTTTGCTTTGCAGAGCCTGCGGTTGCCCAGATTCATCGTCTTTTAATGACCCCATAATCCCTTGCGGGGTGGGGTCTGGGCGACTGAATGGAGCTGAGTGTTTACTGGCTGGATGCCCTTCCTGTCGCCAGTGCGGAGTTATATTCAGCAGACATACTCAGCGTGCCCAGAGAGAGAAAATATCTGCCTCTACCTAGGATTGAACTCGCAGCCTCCTGATTTTGAGGCGAGAGCTCCATCTCTAGGCCACCGCACTCATCATGGTTGCCCAGAATGGGCCCAGTCATTTTTGCATTCAGGGAAGTTAACATGAATGTACCAGCCACACAGTGCAAATCCTGAAAAAAACCTTTGACTTGCTTTAATTTTCTAGTCCTTACTTATTTCAGGAGATAGACGGATAGATTTTTTTTGAGTGGTGTGGTGGCCTAGACATGGAGTTCTCACAATCAGGAGGCTGTGAATTCGATCCTAGGTAGAGGCAGATATTTCTCTGGGCACACTGAGAATGAATGACAAAACTCCGCATTGGTGACAGGAAGGGCACCTGGCCAGTAAATACACAGCTCCATTCAGTTGTCCAGATTTCACTTCACAAGGGATTATGGGGTTGTTAAAAGAGGATGATGATGGACCGATAGATTTTTGCTATGCCAAAGGAGCTACGAGTATATTTTCTAAAGCTGATAAAACCATAATCTAAATCAGTGTCGGGCGCAAACAACCATGAAGAGTTCAATTAGCTGGTTTATTGCTCAAGTCTATAAACGGGAATCTTCTCAGACTGACCAGGTGAAACTAGATAAGGTTCAGCGGCATTCGAGGGGAGTCAGGTTTCACTCTTTCGTGCCCACCTAGGGATTCCAGCCTAAGTCCCCATTTGACTCAACCAGTCTCTCTGCAATAATCAGGATTTTTAAATTTTTCAGGCCCCTGAACAGCAGCAACATATATATTGAACTATAATGGACGGGTTCGTTTACGTGACTGTTCTCAGATTAATTTGCCATAGTAATGAAAAAGAAACTATCTTTGCAAGTTCAAAAGAAAAAAAGCATAAGACAATTCTGAAAATGTTGATTTCTAGTTTCTCTTTATACTAAATGTGTCCTTCACCCACTTTGATCTTTCTGTAGACTCGAGGATCGATTTTGTACTGTTTGGCAAAAGTTTTGAGTCTTTTTGAGGTAAGGACCGTTTTATTGTCCACTCCGTCAGCATGTGTTGGACGTATCTTTTGAATTCTGATGCTCTGAACGATACTAACGAAACAAATTGCCTCTTGAAAGCAACCATCATTGGGCAGCAAACTTGGCCGTTGTGCGAAGCAGTTGCTAAGTTGAAAAATCACATGAATGTGACAGCTTTTGTTTTTCTTACTCCCCTGACCTTTCAGATGCATACTCCAGCACTGGGATAATTAACAGGAGAGTTAATCTCTATTTACGTTCATTGGAGAGGAAGGGATTGCAAGGAAGTAAACAAGCACACAGTGAGGAATACACATCCAAAGGAATGTGCTAGCACCAGCAGCTGTGAGCACACTATGCAAAACATTCCCCTTTGTGTACCTGCTTACTCTCTTGTAATCCCTTCCACTCTACGCTCTGCTGGGTGGGCTGGGGAAGATAAAAGAGGTTATGTTTTCAGCTTCATCATAATATCCTATATTCCTGTTCCCAAGATCCCTATAGATGACATTGTTTAATCAAAGGGGACCAGAATGTGTCAGCCTCCTACAATCAGATCCGCCAGACAGATTGTGACTGTTTTACGAGGCTGAGTTGCTGTGGTGTTTTTATTTTTGGGGTTTAATGGTCACATGGTGCTCAATGGCTAAGACGCTGAGCTTGTCGATCAGAAAGGTCGGCGGTTCGAATCTCTAGCGCCGCGTAACGGAGTGAGCTCCCGTTACTTGTCAGAAGCATGTTAAAAATGCAAGTAGAAAAATAGGGAGCCCTTTGGTGGGAAGGTCACAGCGTTCCGTGCACCTTCGGCGTTTAGTCCTGCCGGCCACATGACCACGGAGACGTCTTCGGACAACGCTGGCTCTTCTTTGGCTTTGTAACAGAAATGAGCACCGCCCCCTAGAGCCGGAAACTATTAGCACACATGTGTGAAGGGAACCTTTACTTTTGCCTGTATGAACTTGGCAGCTATATGTACCTTGAAATTTACAACAAAATAAAATCCAGGACTGCTGACACTTTTGCATCCAGGACTGTTAAAAGAGAATTGCATTTGTTTCCCCCTTTCTTTTATTAGGATGAAGAGAAGAGGAAAGAAGCCCTGGAGATGTTTGATGACTCTTCAAAGCAAGGCTGCTTGCACAGCTCTTACCTCTTGTGGGAAAATAACAAAAAAACCGCGGTGAGTTCACAACTTCTGGTTGTAAGAGGCTGCAACGCGAAGGGGCTTCCGGGAAGAGTTCCTCGGCCCCCTGTGAGGATAGAGAGAAGGTGTGATGACTTCCTTCCTTTCTTACAGATGTCAGATCCTGGTCGATACCTTCAGAGCCTCAGACAACTTAGGGACTACGCAGCCAAAGGGTCTTGGGAAGCTCAGGTATGGTCTTAGCTCCTGGATCTAAAGTTTCCCACTTTGTAAAGGTATGTGAGCATGGCTTTCGGGGGATGAAGAGGAGAGATGCTGTCCATGAAACAATCGGAGAAAAGAGGCAGAAGCCCCCCCAAATGGCTTTAGGGTAGAGGAAGAAACTTAGGAAGGACCTGCCCTAATTGCTCGAATGGTTAAACGTGACTTTGAGGGATGAGGGAAAGAGAAGTTGCCTAGGCAACAATCAGATAACAGAGGCAGGAGCCTTCAGTCACCCCATGGGTGGAGGAAAAAAAAACTTGGGAAGTCTAAGCTGTTAAAAGTGACGGTGGGCATTTTGTACTTTCAGACTTGCAAGATTCTGTTCCTGTAGCTTTACAGTTAAGTAGAATTAGCTTATCTGGTTGTGTTTCCTGTCTGGTTTAACTGGCAAGGCTGACATTAATCTTGCACGTCTGAAGGTACCAATTTCCCACCATCCCCTTTTAACAGCCTGATCCATTAGGGTGGATGCTCCTTAAATTTCTTTCTCTGAGTGTTAAGTCACCGAGGCTCCCCTCTATCAATCCCCAGGCAGCAGCTTTTTTCTACCAAGGCCAGGGGTCTTCCAACTTGACAGCTTTTAAGACTTGTGGACTTCAACTCCCAGAATTCCTCCTCCAGTCATGTTAGCTCAGGAATTCTGGGAGTTGAAGTCCGCAAGTCTTAAACTTGCCCAAGTTTGAAAACCCTTGATCGAAGCCATTCTCACATACCGTTGCAATTTGGATGGATGGGTTTTGCATGCTTCTGCACCTTCCTGGGTTTCTTCTAAACGGCAACGCTCTGCATGTATACTCAGTGCCGTTCCCAGACCAGAAATCTTTTCCTACCCTTATGGCTAAGAGCTTTTTGATCCACAAAGGTTGATGGACCTAGTCAATGAACAGGAATCACAAGCCGTTGGCTTGGCTTGGTCCCTGCTGCATGGCCGGGTTGGATTTCCCAAGAAAGGAAGTATCTTGCTCACTGGTGAGTCCGCAACTGAGAGAAGAGCCAAAACACAGTTGCACTGCTTGGAATTTGGCCCCCAACAGCTGCAACTAGGTGCCAGACAGTGATGTCATCTCTAAATCTCCCCCCGGTGTTGAGGGTTCAGTCACCGAATAGCAATAGACTTATATACCGCTTCACAGTGCTTTCCACCCTTCTCTAAGCGTTTTACAGAGTCAGCCTCTTGCCCCCACCAACAATCTGGCTCCTCGTTTTACCCACCTTGGAAGGAGGGAAGGCTGAGTCAACCTTGAGCTGGTCAGGGTCGAACTGTAGAGTCAACCTGAAATACAGCGTTCTAACCACTATGCCACTGTGGCTCTTTTGAAGAGCAACTAATTTGAATATTTCTTGAAATCTTGGCATCCCCAGGGAAAAAAAGTCTTAACTGAACAGTGAGTCTTTCCTTTGTTGCCCATCACAGCTGAGCTTTGCATTGTTGTTTGGTTGTTAAGTTGTGCCTACTCTTCACAACTTGCATGGACCGTAGCATGCCAGGGCTTCCACTGTCTCAGCGGAGTTTGCCCAAATTCACGTTCCTTGCGTCAAGGACATCATCTCACCATCTCATCCTCTGCCACCCCCTTCTCCCTTCCTCCTTCCATCTTTCCCAACGTCAGGGTCTTTGCCAAGAAGTCCTCTCTTCTCATTAGGTGGCTGAAGTATTTGAGGTTCAGGTTCTGTCCTCCAGGGTTGATTCCCTTCAAGCTGAGCGCCGTTGTCTTACCTTGAGTTGCTTTTCTACCTTGTGCAGATCACTCTTGCCAAAGCTTGCGGGAACAGAAACCAACTGGGGCTGGAAAGCAAGATGTCCGTCGAGGCGGTCTCCCAGTTTTTCCAGGCCTCGGTTCCTCTGAGCAAGCAGAGCATTTTCACTGTCCAGAAGGGCATGAATGAGACAATGAGGTAAAGATGTCCATTCTGCTGTTTTTGTCATTTATTTATTCAATTTATATGCCATCCATCTCGCCACTGAGTGACCCTGGGCAGCTTAATTAGCTGGGCCAGCAGGAATAAAACCACTTTACAAAACGGAATTGTTTTTTAACTTGGAATTTTAATCTCTCATCGCGGGGGCAGGAAAACACCATTTATTAATTGCTCCTGAAACAGTCTGGAGCTCAAAAGTCGGTTTTGAAAGGTTTGAGATGTCACCAAATTTAGCAGCCTCACCCGGCTTCTGTCAGTTTTTTAAAAAAACATTAGGCTGAATGTGGCTTGGGGTGGTGGTTTCAATTTGTATTCCTTAAAGCATCCTCAAACACCATGTGGCCACTCATCGTGCTAAAAACTTGCAAGAAATAGTCTTGCACTCCATCGCTAAATGGTGAAAATGCTTCAAGTATCAATTTGGATTTGCTAAAACTGATTTTTTTTTTGGGGAAATGGTTTAGAGTTTTATGACACAATAAAGTTAATGTGGATTTTTTAAAAAATCATTACGTACAAGTGCCATACAGGTAGACCTCGGTTACAACCATTTGTTTAGCTACTGACAACGATGAATTTCTTAGCATCTATTAAAAAGAAGGTGACAAGTAGCTAATTTTAGTTTCTTCAGTCATTCCTCTTTGTTTTTAAAATTCTGTTTATTTACTTTGGAAGAAATCTTAAAATATATATATATATTGTAAAAAGGAGAAGGACTGATGAAAGAGGCACTGTGGGATAATTGTTACTCATCTTGACAGCAAAGATGAATTTCTAATTGCTTTTGTTTTATTTTGTTTTATTCTTTTAGATACATTTTGGTTGATTGGCTGGTAGAAGTTGCCACCATGAAAGATTTCTCCAGCCTCTGCCTTCACATGACCATTGGCTGCGTGGATCGGTACTTGAAACTGAGACCCGTGCCCCGGGCTCGGCTGCAGCTTTTAGGAATTGCATGCATGGTTATTTGTACCCGGTAAGCCCTGCAGCTCTTGGAGGTGCTAGGGGTGGCTTGGTCTGGTTTTACCAATTCTTGTTTAAGGGGGATTGCAACGGTTTCTGAATGCTATGGTGCTAGAGGCCCTGTATTTTGCTGCATTGGTGGAAAACACGAGGACTCGGGAACAGAACAAAGCAGAACAGAGCAGAGAGTAGAATAGAATATGGAGTAGAATAGAATAGAATACAGAGTACAGTAGAGTAAAATATGGAATAGAATAGGATACAGAATAGAGTAGAATACGGAGTGGAATGGAATAGAATAGAATACGGAGTAGAATAGACTGTAGAGTAGAGTAGAATACGGAATAGAATAGAATAGAATAGAATTCTTTATTGGCCAAGTGTGATTAGACACACAAGGAATTTGTCTTGGTGCATAAGCTCTCTGTATGTAAAAGATATAAGTGATGATCATAGTCATTATAAATACATTTCATCATGTGATTTACATTCATTATGTAATACAGATGGAGAGATGGAGAGGAGGTGTAGTGGTCTCAAGGTTATCCCAAAGGTGCTTTTTCCAAAAAGCGACTGGAGAATTTAGAATAGAATAAGCGGGAAGGGACATTGGAGGTCTTATAGTCCAGCCCTTTGCTCAAGCAGGAGAACCTGTCCTATATCATTTTAGATAAGTGACTGTCTGGACTCTTCTTAAAAACAGCCAGTGATGGAGCGCTCACAATTTCTGGAGGCGTTTCCGTGTTTTCACTTCTCATCTAAGAAGCTTCTTCAGAACTGTTTTGAAGAAGCTCCTTGGATGAGAAGCAAAACATTTTCAAAGAAAAAACCAAGAAAATCCAGTTGCCTTTTGGAACAAGCACCTTTGGGACAAGATGGTATATGTGAAAGACCTTGGGGGACTGGAGAAAGATGCTGCCAAGAGAATAGTTAGATAAGAGACAACCTAACCCACAATTGTATGATGGGTGAGGTAAGAACTCAGAAGACACCCTCCCTAGTTTCTTGGGCTCCAAAGGAGATGGGAGGATTGTACTTTAAGATTTGCAAGGTCCTATCCATGTAAGGGACTCAGTGGCCTAGATGCTGAGCTTGTCGATCAGAAAGGTCTGCAGTTCGGCGGTTCGAATCCCTAGCACGGCGTAACGGAGTGAGCTCCCGTTACTTGTCCCAGCTTCTGCCAGCCTACTAGAAGTTCGAAAGCACATTAAAAAAGCAAATAGAAAATTAGGGACCACTTTGGTGGGAAGGTAACAGCGTTCTGTGCACCTTCGGCGTTTAACCATGCCGGCCACCTGACCACGGAGATGAGCACCGCCCCCTAAAGCCGGAAACGACTAGCACGGATGTGCGAGGGGAACCTTTTCCTTTATCCATGTTAGTTTTGCAATAAAGTAGAATAAACTCATCTGCTTGTGATTCATAACTGATTTAGCCTGCGAGGCTGGCAGGAGGTATCCAAAAGATAATTGCTGTGTTTTGCTGCAAATTCAGGCACACTTCGAGGCCCTGTCAAATGCTGCTTGAGCACATACCCTGGAGTTAGTTCTGCTGAGATTTGTTTTTTTTTTTTTAATTCCTCTCAGCTTCTGCCCTTTAAAAAAATCACACAAAGCCTTGGTGATTTAGCTGCTTCTGGAAGGGGGATATTAGTAAGAAACGGGGCCTCCGCTGTTTCTCCCATGGTTTGGCCTTTTCATGCAAATCTCTCTTGCGTTGCAGCTTCGTGAGCAAAGAGATTCTGACGATTCGCGAAGCGGTTTGGTTAACAGACAACACGTACAAGTACGAAGACCTCGTGAGGATGATGGGGGAGGTCATCTCTGCCCTGGAAGGCAGGATAAAGGTAAACTTGTATGGAGAGGATGGGCTTGGCCTTAAGCATTGGGATTCTAAGTCGAGGGCTACCTGTTCAATTGTTCCTGATAGCAATGTTAGAAGTGATGTGCTTGGAGCATATTTTGGACAATGAATGTGATCACTTTATTGCTACATGAAAAAATATTGAACAAATCCCATTCCTTTGAATTTTCCCAATGCTGCTTGATTCTGCTGTGACTTTCTCAGCTAGATTCAAAATTTAAACCTTATGTTTTCCTCCTCCCTTCCATCCTCTATTCATTCCTTCCTGCTATCCATGTCCTTCTATCCCTCCCTCCCTTCTTTCCTCCCTCCCTCCCTCCCTCCCTCTATTCATCTCCTTCCTTCTATCTGTGTCCTATCCCTCCCTCCCCTCCTTCCTCCCTCCCTTCCTCTATTAATCTGCTTCTATCCCTTCCTTCCTTCCTCTATTCATCTCCTTCTATCCATGTCCTTCTTCTATCCCTCCCTCCCTCCCTCCCTTCCTTCCTTCATTCATTCATCTCCTTCCTTCTATCCCTCCCCTACTTCCTTCCTCCCTCCCTTCCTTTCTCTATTCTTCTTCCTTCTTTCCTTCCTTCCTGTAGTTTGATTTATAAGAAACTATGGAGATTCTCAGTCATCCAGGCCATGGTTTTCCCAAAGGAGCTTTTTTCAAGAGGCAACTGGACTTTCTGGTTTTTTTCCCGACGTTTCACTTCTCATCCGATGAGTGTCTTCCAAGAAAAAAATCAGAAAGTCCAGTTGCCTCTGAAAAAAAAAAAGCTCCTTTTGGGACAAATAACCCAGAAGCAGCCACAAACTGGTGTTCATGCGTTTTGACTTTGAAACATATCGCACAACAGTGGGCTAGAAATTTAAGAAGCTGGTAGGGACTGGAAGTCTTAAAAAGAACCAAATATATTTAAACATTTAAAATAAATATAACAGCTAAGCCTCAGAAGACGTCATCTGGAGACTTACCTTGCCCAGGTTAGGAACATGTTTGACTTCCTGTTTTCTTTTTCTTTTATATGTTAAAAAAAAAACCCCACAGATTCCTACTATTGTTGACTATAAGGAAGTGCTACTGAATGTCGTCTCGCTGGAGAGAAGGACAGCATCCCTGTACAGCTTCATCTGTGAACTTTCCCTGCTAAACACCGGGCTTTGCTGCTACTCCCCAGCCCGTCTGTCTGCAGCAGCCTTGTTGTTAGCAAAAGTGTTGCACAGACAAGGTGAGTTCCAATTTGAACAAAGCTGGCAACTGACTCGTGTTTATGACGGTTGCATTGTCCCGGGGTTATGACATCACCTTTGGAGATCTCCCGACTTTCAATGGGGGAAGCCAGATTCGTTTTAACAACCCCGCAAGCCACTTAGCTTCAGGTCGTAAAATGGAGCACAGTTCACTTTAGGGCTGCCTCGCTTAGCGGCAGAAATGTGGAGCTCAATTGTGGTCACAGGTCGAGGGCTGCTTATCTTCCCGAGTTGAGATAAAAGTTAAGCTTAAGATGTGCAGAAGATTTTTTTAAAAAAATTAGCAATATTGACATGGGTTCTTTTTTTTTCATTTGTCTTCTCTCCAGCTCATCCTTGGACTAGCCAGTTGACGGAAAATACAGGATTTTCTCTGGAAGAATTAGTTCCCTGTGTGCTGAGTCTCCACAAGAAATGGTAAGCCTTCGAAATACAAGGAGGAAGAGAAAAAGGAAGAAAATGGGGGAACCGACTTCCAACCCTTCCTAGCACAGTATAAGATACACACTCCAACCACAACTTTTTTGCTTTTACACATTTAATACATAACCAGCCATTTCTATAACACCAAATCTTTCTAATCAACAAAACCAAAATCAGAGTTTCAGTTTTTTTGTTTTTGTTTTTGCACAAGCACAAATTCTAGAAGCGATATCCAAAAATGAGAACGTATTTTCCTCTTTAAATAAAGTAATCCATTTAACCCTTCCTGCTTTATCTTCCTCGCTATGGAAATAGTATGGGTTTCTATCTGCCCTTCACAGTCTTTGTGCACTGTGACCATTTTTATTTACAAAATTTATTGTATTCTTTCAAATTCTTTGGCCTGACTGAAGGGGTGGAAAAACTTTTTTTCCTTTTCTTTAAGCCTTTCTTTTTTCACACATACCCTTTCCTCAAAATACTAAATATTTTTTTTTAAAAAAAAACGCAAACAAAAAAGCACCTTTTCTTTTAAATCAAAACTTTTTCCCATTCCTTTTCTTCCTTTAATTTCATTCATATATATATATATATATATATTTGTTTTCTGAGGTTCTCGCGGGTATTTGTATGTGGATCTTTGGTTATTCGGGTTTTCTCCCGCGTAAGATTGGAAGTATCTAGCCTAGATACTTCCAATATTGTAGTTTACACAATAAAGTAAAATGGAAGTTAAGAAAAGAAGTGGTAAACCTTTGGGCAGAGAGGAGATTTCACAAAACTGGAACTTCCGCGAGTAACGGGCGGGTTTTTCCGCCCATTGAGATAAATAACCAGACATGCCCTCTAAATCAAGCAAGAGCTGATCCCAATAGAGGAGGACGTTTGTAGCTCAGGGTTGAGGATGCTCTCTGAACTTGGTGATTTTCTCGCAGACGTTTCATGACCCAGCTAGGTAACATCATCAATGCTAGAAGGGAGGTGGATTTGCGGAAAGGAAGAGGACTGTGGGTCCTTGGTTCTCTGTGGGCTTGGTTGTATTTATGCAGACGTTTCATGACCCAACTAAGTAACGCCACCAGTGCTAGAAGGGAGTTGGGTTTATATGCTATAGTAGTGGCTTGATCTGTCAGGGTTGGTGGGAGACACAGAGGAAGCCACTAATATATAAAATGAGCAGACCCCACTCCCTTCTAGCACTGATCATGTTACCTAGTTTGGGTCATGAAACGTCTGCAAAAAAACAAGCAAGCTCAGAGACCATCAAGGACTCCCCTCAATAGCTAATGGTTTGTTTGTTTGTAAATTTTTTTAAAAAAAATTATTTAAAGTACATACAATTCATCTTCCATTTAATGGCGTTTCGTCTGGGTACAAATATCTTGTGCAATAACAAATAAATTTTACATCCGTGTTCGTTTCTTTGGTATTAATGCTCTATGCTTATCCTTATTAATGTACATAATATCTCTATTACTATAACACTCCTTTTCTTAACATGTTTCATTCTATAAACCTATTGTCAGGGCTCCGACAGTTACCCCAATTTAAATCATGAGTCTCTAGCCAGATTTCCAAAGGCTTAAAGAAGATTTATTGGGAGTAAACATGCCAGCACTGCCTGGGTGTAGCCGACTCTGAGACACATCATTCATTGTCACCCTTGAGCCTGGTTTTTCCCTCCATCCCCCTGGGTGTATCATAATTCATATTCTCCAATGGGACACATCCATAGCCAAGAGTCATCAATCATGCTCTCCAGTTAGAATTTTGCATGGCAGGAACTTCGGTCACCTAGTTACTGTTTGTGAAAAACTATTTATGGAATGTACTTTCAATTTCCAAGCTGCCGCGCTGCTCTTTCAAACCCCTTTCCCCCCTCTCCCTTTCTGTTGACAACTCTAAAAAGACCACAGAAATATTTTATGAGCTGACACCTATTTTCTATATTCCACTAATCTATTAGCTATTTCTGGCTTTCATATTTTTTAGTCTCTAGCCATCGATAAAATAGTTCCCATGTCTTACAACATTCAGTTTGCTCCTCTTTAATTGCAAGTGTTAAATCTTCATTTCTGCACATTCTAATGTGTTTCTAATCACATTTTCCTCAGCAGGCATCTCTTCGCTTTTCCAATTTTGAGCAAACACAATTCTAGCTCCAGTTAACACACGAATAATCAAATATACCCAAATATAATAGCTGATCTTGATGTGGGTTCCTCCTGTTGTCAGAACCACAAAGGGGACCGTATTGGGCAGAAAATGATCGCGCCATTACTTGGGAAGCTGTAGTCAAACTTAGCTAGAGATTCCAGGCCAGAGAAAACTAAGGTATTCTGATATTCGTGACTGTTTTGGAGATTCATGGAGATGATTCCCTGTTTTTTTTTCTTTTTCTTCCTAGCTTCCATGAAGATGCTCCCAAAGATTATAGGCAGGTTTCCCTGATTGCTGTGAAGCAACGGTTTGAGGATAAGCGCTACGAAGAAATTGGAAAAGAAGAGGTAAGCTAAATAAAGAATCGGGTAGGGATTTGTTTTTTTCCACTGTTTTAAACATTTCTTTAAAGATTGTCATCTTAATAATATATGTGATGACCCGAAGGGGCGTGGCACAAAGGCAACACAGTCAGATAATCAGTAGGAGTCCCTTTATAAACTCCCAACTTTGCTCCCCATGTCCTGGTTACCTTCTGGGCTGGAGAAAAACTCCCAGGAACAGCCTTTGGCTGCACAGAATCAAATCCAAAATGTGGTCAACAAAAACTGTAAATATAAGTCCAGTCAAGGCAAAATGAGGTAATTAGTCCGGCAGGGCACAGGTTCACCATCATGGAACTAGACTCTTGGCTTGAGCAATAAATCCGAATTGCAACTAAGGGTGATCCTGGTTCTTCGCATCTGACTAACGGAGCAGTTGAAGAATCAAGTGGGGTTTTTTTGGGGGTTGGTTGGTAGAAGAAACGGCCAAATATTTGGCAGTGAGCAGCTTGGATGCCAGGATGAATGCAGTATCCCACCTCCGTTGACCTGTTACTCTAGGTGATGAGCTACAGCCAGCTCTGCTCCCTGCTTGGAGTGAAACAGGAAGACCCGGAGCCTGGATCTTCGTACGTGAACTCGGTGGAGACCTTCCTCACTTCCCCATCCGGAAAACGTTCCAAAAGGCAAGTTCGATACTTGGGTTCCGGTTGAATTGGCAGGGAGAGGGACCCTGCAGGGACAAGGAGGATCATGATCTCCCAACTCCAAATGGGAGTGGTTGCTTTGGGCCAAGCTGGTGGTCCTTAGGAGGCCTCCAAGGAGGAGAAAGATTGGACTGTAGGAAAACCACAGCGTCAGGGCTCTGATAATTCACCCCCATTCAAATCATGAGTCTCTAGCCACATCCCTCAGAGTTAAAAAATAATAATAATTTATTAGGAATGAACATGTCGGCGTTTCCTGGGTGCAGCCAACTCTGAGACACATCATTCATTTCACCCTTGACCGTGGTCTTCCCCCCACCTGGATGTATATTCTCCAATGGGACACTTCCATAGCCAAGAGTCATCAATCATGCTCTCCAGTAATACTTTTGTGCGCCAGAAGCTTTGGTTGCCTAGAACTTATCTATGAAGCATTTAAGGAATGCACTACTTCTCCCACTCCCTTTCTGCTGTCAACTCTAAAAGACCAGAGAAATATTTTTGAGTTGACACACAGCTTCTGTTGTCTATAGAGATTCTCAGTCATCCAGGTCATGGTCGCTCCAAAGGTGCCTCTTGAAAAAGCACCTAAGGGACACGGGTTCTATTGCTTCAAAAAAATGCGGAATGGCTTTGAAGACGGCAGAAGTCAATGGGCGGAACATTCATTGACATCTCCAAGCTTTTCGTAGAAGGAAGAAGGGGTAGCATTTGCAAGACTTCTTGACTTTGCAGGCCCCAAAACCAGTCGAACTTTTGATTTCCATCTCTGTGTAATAACGGGATTCTAAGTTCTGCTTCCAAATTTGTTTTTACAAGCATTTTTTGCTGTCATTCAGGATTACTCGCCTTCTCAAGGGAAAACCTAGTCCGTGTGGCCAATGGGGAGAGAGATACGGTTGGGGGAAATGTCTAGGTGACCTCGTGGTTTTCTTTTCCCTTAGCATGTTTCCCAAAGCTTACAGTGGCGTAGTGCAGAGATTCCTTCCAGGTCTTTCCGACACCTGGATTTCCGTTTCAGATCTGGCTGACTTGGCTGTTTTCCTCTGCACAATGCGAATGAAATCATCTTCGATTCTATTGCAAGACAAAGCATAAAAATTCTTTGTATGTGAACAGGCAGCTGTTCGTTCATCCCAATCTCCCTTCTCAGTAATTGCGCTGCTGCTTTTATGATGGGGAAAAGCACAGGCAGTTCTTTGCAGCTCAGGCTGATTAAGATAATTGCAGATAAATTGTATTTTTATAGTATTTTATTTCCTCTCTCTTTCTCTCCCTCCCTCCCTCCCTCTCTACTCTACTCTACTCTACTCTACTCTACTCTACTCTACTCTATCTATCTATCTATCTATCTATCTATCTATCTATCTATCTATCTCAAGGGTCTTCAAACTTGGCAAGTTTAAGACTTGTGGACTTCAACTCCCAGAATTCCTGTGCTAACATGACTGGAGGAGGAATTCCGGGAGTTGAAGTCCACAAGTCTTAAAGCTGTCAAGTTTGAAGACCTTGCTATAGCCCCTAGATTGTTAAAAAAAAACAACAGGTTATATTCCAGGTCACAGGATGGGGTGGACATAAAAATAAATCACGATGGAGCTACAATCATGCTATGCAAGCCTCACCTCCTTTATACGTGCCTTTGCATGATCTGATTGCAATGGCCATCTTGACTGTTCTCATGTGTGCCTACAAGCACCAGGCCTCAACCACCCTTGTCCTATATCTGGAGGTGTAGAGTCTCATCCTTGGCTCAGGTCTTCTGACAAAGAGAGTCATTCATGGTGGTGTTCCCTTCACAGGAGAAGGGAAGACAGCATCCAGGAGGATCGGGGTAGCTTTGTCACCACTCCCACGGCTGAATTGTCCACTCAGGAAGAAAGTCTTCTGGATAATTTTCTGGATTGGAGCTTGGATGCTTGTTCGGGATATGAAGGAGATCAAGAAAGTGAAGGCGAGAAGGAGGGAGATGGTAAGGTCCCTGTTTCTCTCTAATGTTTCAGGATGTCTGTTGGTCTTGCTCTTCTGTGTCTGGATTTTAATTTCATTATGCAGCTTGGATACAGCCGTCTCTGGATTAAGAACGATTCCATCTTCAATTCAAATTTCTACTTATGTCAGAACTCGTACTTACAAACGGGCTGCCTATTGCCAATAGTTCTCGACTTAATAATCCTTCGTTTAGCCATCATTCGTAATTATAACACCAAAGTGGGAACTAGTCCGTGCACTTAACAATCAATGCAGACCAGTGCTGTTGTAACTTTGAACGGTCGCTAAACGAATGCTTGTAAGTCAAGGACTATCTAACAAAATAGGGAAGTAAACCTTTGCTGAATTTTGTTGTTGGTTCATTTCAGGGAAATCCACTTGGCTAGTTTTAGATCACAAAAGCAAATTGTCCTGGCCTAATTTTGAATTCCTCAGCATGTGTTTGACTGGAGCAGGAAAAGTAGCAGAACCTGGGGGTGGAGTCAAAAGGGGGTTCAGCCTAGAATCTTTACGTAGCCACAAGTGAACTAAGTCCAAATCTCCTTGAGTGCCATTGGCCCTTATCTTAACTCCAGTCAGATGCTAATCGTTCATTGAGAAGATTCCTTTGCAATAGGCATGTAGAGCAATAAATCAGTGTAATTGGACCTTCATGTGTAGACCTGGCCTTCTAGGTCCGATACTGATGGTTGTGGTTCACTGATAGTTGAGTCAGAGGAGATGGAGGGGGTCTCTGGGTTGCCATTGGGGCCTGCGGAAGGCTCTGAGGAGCAGGAGGTCTCAGAGCCAGATGCAGAGTAGGGCCCACCTACTCATGTTTACGCGGAGAGGCAGCTGTTTCCTGGGCCTGAGCTGAGTGAGGGGGACGAATAGGTGGGGCCTGTCCCAGATGCGTGAATGTGTAGAGAAGTGCAGAAAGGAGAGCAATGTAGGACTGAGGGCCAGCTACCAGGAAAAGAAGGAGACTTAAGTCCCTCCCTGGCTGGGATATAAGGAGGAGGGATGTGGGAGGCGCAGTTGTCGGAGACAACCATTTATGTTCCGGAAGAATTCCCTCCGGCGGATTCCTTGTCTGGATTTCCTACTCGGGTTGGTCAGGACTCTTGGTGTTGGGATTGAAGTGTCGAGCCAAGCTTCAAAAGAATCCAAAAGATTTATTAGGAGCAACATGTCAGCATTGACCCATATGAAGCCAACTCTGACACATGTAATTTACAGTCACTTGTGACCCTGTTCCCCCCTCCCCTCTGGGTGTGTCAAAAAAATCAGATTCTCCAACGAAGCACACAGGGTGGGTGTCATCAATCGCATTCTCCAGTGAAGGGTTTTCGAGGGCAGAAGATCCGGTAGCCTAGGCTACAATTTTTGTAAGATAAGCGTGGAATGTACTTCTGGTTTTAATTGCCATACTGCTCCTTCAGGTGTTTTTTTTTCCCCACCCCTGCTTATGGCAACTCGAAAACAGGCATAGGAATGCTTTACGAGTTGACATGAAGTATTCATTGATGCTCCCTGCGGAAAACTCAGAGACTGCTATGGCTTGCAAATCACCTAAGGATGTGTGCACCTGGAGCTTTGTCCGTGAATGCCGTGTATTCCTGCCTTTCTAAATAAAAAGGGATTTCTCCTCACGAGTAGGCTGTAGAGTGGGGGCTCGTGAAGTCTGGGTCAGAACACTGACCATCTTATTTTAAGAGTTTTCTTCTGTTTCCCTGTGGTATAGTTACAGCTCCTCCTGGAATTCTGGATGGAACTCTACCGCCTCAGGACCTGAAGAAGCCTTGCTGTTGCCAAGAATCCAGCGACGATGAGAGCCTTCCCCAAGGAGGATGTCGGTACATCTTCAAGGATTATGACCATCCCAACGAAGAGAGTGGGTTCACCATCACCCAAGCATCTCCTGGGGAAGCCAGCTCAGGCTATGCCTCTGTCAACGGCACCAGCCCTCCTACCGACGGCACATTTCTCAAAGCCAGCTTGGGGCAACCCCTGAGGCTGCTGAAGGATAAAATCGTACAGCTGCCTTCGCGCTCAGAATCTTGTTTACATTCCGCCAGCGGCCGGTCGAGCAGGAGACAAGCCAAGCGGAAGAATGTAATGCCATACAGTGAAGAAGAGAAGAACCACTTAGGTTTCTTAAGCCTTTGAAAGCCGGAGGTTGTTGAAGCTTGAACCTTAGACTAGGCTGTTTCTCAGAACGTCAGAATCCTTCAAAGCAAAGAGCTAAAATGAGAGGTTGTTGTACCAAGTATCTTGGATGTTGTGGGTCATCACTCTCTAGGCTTCCCATGGTAGTTCCTGACTCCCTTAACACAACGGTCAGCTTTTCTTGAGGTTGCCACCATCTCTACATCCCAACACGGTAGCCAAATCAAAGGTGGCGGTGCTAAGACATGCAACGCAGAGGTCCTATTTTACATGGAAGACCGGCCTATCCTCCAAGACCAAATCATAGTCTTTCCCAGGAGATGTTGGGTTTGCTTGTGGGACAGAGAAGGTTAACCAAGTCAATCTTGGTTCACCTTCCACATCGTACAGCTGAGTGCTTCACTCCGATCTAGCAATTCAGAAGCAATCCTCTGTGAATTTATTTCTTTTTCTCTTGCAACTTCTCCATGAAATGAAGGAGGTCAGATTAGACACACACACATACACACAAATCCTTGGCCATCCTTTGAAATGTAAACATCTCATTGATGGATCTTGAGAGGGTGTGGAGCAGTGTTTTCTTAGCAGCTTGGAACTGTCTGGTCTTATTTTGGGAAAGTGGGGATACTACCTCATTTAAACTCTTCGTTATCTCAAATTGCTTTTTCTAATGTGACCCCCTTTTTCCAAGTTGGTGAGCTACTCTCTTGAGGGCACAGAGGTTAGGAAGGATGGTCTGGAGCAACATTTCTCAACCTCAGACATTTTAAAACGGGTGGACTTCAACTCCCAGAATGCTCCAGCAGGCTGGCTGGGGAGTTCTGGGAGTTGAAGTCCACCTGTTTTAAAATGGCTGACGTTGAGAAACACTGCCCTGTAACTGGATTCTGCCATTTGTTGGAGAACATACGGCCACTGTTTACCAATATTTTTTCTATACATGATGATGTTTCCTGTCTTTCTATTCAAAATGATCGACGCAATTTGTGGACTAGTGTCATAAAGTTATTTAGCAAATGCATCCTGTCCCCTTTTGTTATCCTCTTTTTTAACCTTTCCCAAATTTTCCTTTGTCATTGTGTTCTTTCTTTCTTTCTTTGCTTGCTCCTTAACTTTCTCTGATTTTACATGTTTCTTTCCTCCTAAAAATGCAAGTCCATGGCCACACAACTGTGATGACAACAGTGTTATGTGGAGCAAGGGGGAAGAAGGCTGTGTGATGTTTGTATGTTTGCTTATTCGTGTCAGAAGCATCACAATTAAAACAAGGTATACTATACAACAGGAAATTTAAAATATATTAAAAAACAAAATTAAAACATGTACAAATTAGACAAATCTTGCCCAGAAACTAGCAACATTGTGTTCTGTCACGTTGCCGTGAGGTCCTAAAGTATACACTGTTCAGGGCACAAATGGCAGGTAAACTTATGTGTTCGCATGTCATCACAATCGCAAAGAGCACAATCTTTGCGATTGTGAGCCCGTTGATGGAAATGATGCCCGCGTTGATCAATTTAATAGGGTAGAAATTTTGAAAAATAAAAAAAATCCATTATATGGAAGGTCCATTCTATGGAAGAGCCCACGGATTGTCAGATATGTAATATGGCATTTTAAATGGGTTTGAATGACCTTGAAGAAACTAACCAGTTTCTTTTTGGATTGAATGATCACTGAAAAACAACCACCTTTCCATTGTTACATGACCAGGAGACATTGAAATAATGGTTTTTGTTATTTGTTGTCATATTGTACAATCAGAGCCTGGAGAAAAAAAATGTATTTTTTTTTTCAATGAATTATGCCTCTATAAACTGTCTACCAAGATTTTTAAAAGGCTTGTGTTTTTGAAGACTGCATGAATTTGAGGAATATTGGACCTGGTCAATGAGGTTTTTTTTAAAAAAAGAAAAGATTAATGTTAATGAAAGTTCATGTTGGCTAGTGATTTTTTTTTATATATAAAAACTAACTTTGTATACAAATGCCTGAGTCTTTATGAAGCATCATTTTGAAGTGTTTCAATATCTTAACAGGGTGGGTGAATTATAATCACAAAAGTTGTTTTAGCCTTGAAACCTGGAGCCAGAAAGTTCAGGTCAAACTGGCATGCTTAACCATGCTCTGTGGTTCAATGAGTTTGCTCTGTAGAGTGCTCCACTTATGGCCACTTGCATTTATGACAGCCAGAGAATGGGTGCTTTACCTCCTTGTAAAGCCGACACACAACCTTCAGCCATTGTAAATGGTCTCACACACACACTCATCCCCATGATCACCAGATTGCACATTGGGTGCTTGGTAACTGGTAATCTTTATGACTGCTGCACTCTGCAATCGCGTGACTGATATTGCCACTTTCCAGCAAATCACAGTGTTCACTTAATGACTGCCCTGACAGAGCTAAAAACCACTTTCGGTTCCATGAGTGCCTCAACCAACAACTGGGGACTTGTTTTTCTGGTTGTAATTGTGATCATAAGTTGAGGGCTACTTGTATAATTTATCACTTACAGCTTTTATGTACACGGAGAGCTTATGCATCAAAGACAAATTCCTTATGTGTCAAGTCACCAGGCCAATAAAGAATTCTATTCTGTTCTATAAACCACATGGTTGGGTCCGTGCAAGATTAAACCACAACTAAGCAATTCTGTAATGGCTTGGTTGCAATAGGGTAATATGAATGGATGATGAGTAGTGCAGGTTCGGTAGGACATATAAAGCAACGTCTAGTATATATTGGCCTCTATATGACTTATTAGAGGGTTAGTGGGGAATATCGTACAATATAATGGACCATGATGGACATACAGCCTCCTGGGGGATTTCCTGAAGTATTTGCAATAACAAAGTCACAACCAAGGCATTGTATGTCCTTTATGGATTGCCTCCAAGCAAGATGGGTAACATGCAAATCTAATAAATGATGCACTCCTTGCTTTGTTTTCTTCAATTTTCTTTCAGTACCACAGAGTCACCAAAGTGTGTTGTGTACAATACTGTACAAAAAATCCATTACATTGAGCTATGGAGCCTGCAATACAATACCCATGCTGCACTGCCCCATTGGCTCATTGGGATAGTCCAGACCCCGAAGGGGAAAATAGAGCAATATGTTGAAAATACCGAATACGCTGTCTCTTGATGGTTCACGTCACACATTTCAACCTCCAAAGGAGGAAATACGGCAATACGGACCGAGTTTACCCCGAAATGGAAGCTTGTGTTGTGTTATGGCACATGCCGCCCCTGGTGGCTGATGGGTGTAACTGCACGTTCGATGGGGAATCTAAGGCAAACGCCTGTATTGTGGGCAAAATAGGATGAAACAATATGTACGTTCATCGCCTTGAGTTATTTATTTAAAAAAATAATAAGATTGGGATTAAAAATTAAAGTCATGGCAGCTGTACGGCTCAGTGACCGGACGGGGTTTTAGTGAGGAAAATAGGAAAAATGCATCGTTTGGTACGTTCTGCCCCTGGTGGCTGATGGAGGTACTGCAGGCCCAAAACTCATGGCATGCATAAAGGTCCGTGGAGAAAACGGCCCATCTATCTTGGAGGACCAGTTGCTCTCTATCACCCGATAGCTTTTTTTTTTTTTTTTTGCCTTCTTCCCCCCGGAGCAATAAGTTTTCAAACTGCAGGGGGCGTGGCCAGGAAAGGAAAAGGGCGTGGCCGCGCACCGGAAGCCTGGACGCGCTGACGCTGCGAAAGCGAAAGTGAAAACGTCCTTAGGCGACGCCGCTATGAGATCCGGCTGGGCGGCTCAGAAGCGGCGGCTGCGGGCCGAAGAGGGCGACGTGGCCACCAAGAGGACCTCCGGGCAGGGCGCCGGGTGGGTATCCCCTTGCGCGGTCCTTAGGCCTCTGGATAGGCCGGAGCCTCCGATCTAGTACGCCTGCCCATGGGCCTTGGCGTTGCCAGGGGATACGGGGAGCTGACTAGGGAATTCTGGGAGTTGAAGTCCATACATTTCCACGTTGCCAGGGGTAATAGCAATAGCACTTACTTATATGCTGCTTCATCCCTCTCTAAGCAGTTTACAGTGTCGATCTCTTCCCCCCAACAATCTGGGTCCTCATTTTACCCACTTCACAAGGAGGGAAGGCTGAAGTCAAAACCTTGAATCAGGATTGAATTCCTGGTGGTGGGCAGAGTTGTGCACCATGGAAGGAAGGAAAGAAGGGAAGAAAGGAAGGAGAAAAGGAAGAACAATTGCAATAGCACTTAGACTTATATACCACTTTACAGTGCTTTACAGCCTTTTTTAAATGGTTTATAGAAAAGTTATAGATTCTTGGGGGCAATATTGTTGCCCCCAACAATCTGGGTCCTCATTTTAACCACCTCGGAAGGCTGACTCAATCTTGAGCCTGGTGAGAAAGAAAGTAGAAGAAAGAAAGTTCAGAGTATGTGGGAAATGACAACTGCAGATCTCCAGATCTGATTAATCCCTTACCTTGCATAATCATAATTTATTGAAGGAAGAGCAGTTGTTTGACTCTGCAAAAGATATTAAGCCAAAATTAAGTGAGCTAGAACGTTGTTTTGTAGACAATAGGTACTTTTCTAGGTGTTAAAAGACTTACAAAGGTCCTGTTTGGTTTTACCTTTTTATAGAAAGCTCATGAACGTGAAGGTCTATGGAGATTGTCATCTGGACCATGGTTGTGCCAAAGGTGCTTTTTTTCGAGAGGCAACTGGACTTCCTGGTTTTTCTTTGAAGATGTTTTGCTTCTCATCCAAGAAGCTTCTTCAGCGCTGACAGGATGGTGGGGAATGGAAGGATTTATACTCCTTGCAGACACCTGGTCATTTGCATCCTTTTTAGAGGGTCCTTGAGACCACTTGGAGGTTTATCTGTGTCCTTCCATTCCCCACCCTCCAGTCAGAACTGAAGAAGCTTCTTGAATGAGAAGCGAAACGTCTTCAAAGAAAACCAGAATGTCCAGTTGCCTCATGAACATAAAGGTTTCTCCAGAAAGGATGTTTTTGACCATTGTAGACTGTGTATAAATAAGTAGCAAAGGAAATTTGCCAAGGTGGACAATATTTGTAGGTCAAGGTAGGGTTATTTTCTTGGTGTTCTCAAGTTTGCTTGTCTTCTGCAGAGATTTCGGGCCTGATCATGAGAAAGAGAAGTAGCCAGAGTGGCAAATATTCGTAGATCAAGTGTAGGATGAGGGTGAAGGTTCGTTCTCCGAGGTTGTGGGTTGGTTTCCAAACATTTCATTACCAGGCCAGGTAACATCTTCAGCGGAGTTTAGGGGAATTTATAAACAGAAGAACACACACTGACACCCCCTAAACTCCGCTGAAGATGTTACCTAGCCAGGTAAACAAAACATTCAGAAACATGAGCAACATGATTCCAAATTACAACATTTATACATAGTCATACTTACATTTTCAACTTTCTTATTTAATATCACATCAAATTATTATCCACTCCACTAATCTTTAAATAAATGTCCATTTCATATTTCAATTCATTAATTCAATATCAAAGTCATTTCCTCACATATATTTTCAATTCTTTATCCCCTATTATTTCCATTTTCAGCTTACTACCTATTTTATTTTTCATTGGACATTGTTATCTTCATTAACTTTCTCAAGATCGCAAAATAGTAAAGAATAAAAAAGAGTAAAAATAAAATAAAATAAATATATTTAGGATCCACATGGTATATCCCCCAATCTACAGTATGTCTTATATTTATTCCAGCAATTTTATTTCTGTTATATGGACTTCTCTTTTCTTCACCCTAATAAAATAAAAGTTTGGTAGGTAAAGACTACTAGGGAGTTCACTGAGGTACTCAGCCCGTATATATTAAATACTCTTTTTTTCCCCCTGAGCACGTTCAGCTTTTTGGTATGCATCAGTTACTTGATGGATTTGACCTTTTTTCTTTGTTGGTGACTTTTTTCCAGGATGGTCAATTTCTGTCCACAATGTGGACAGAAAGTTGAGGAAATGTTTCACTTCTGTCCGGCCTGTGGAGGCCGGCTTCCGGTTCCAGAAGAAGAGCCCATGCAGATCACTCCATCTCCTTCTTTAAAAGGTGTGTAACATTCATTAACACGTGGGTTAGTTGAAGGCTGAGAAAATGGCCTGGAAATCGGCTAAGAGGAAGTCATTCCCCCTTCGGCTTAGAGATGCTCATCGTGACACCATTGCGCGAATCACTTAATGCAAGTAGCCCTCAACTTATAACCACAATTGAGCCCAGAATTTCCATTGCTAAACCAGGTAGTTGTTAAGTGAGTCATGACCCATTTTACGACCTTTTAGCCCCTTAGATCAGAGGTCTCCAAACTTGGCAACTTTAAGACTTTTGGATTTCAACTTCAGCATAGCTGGTCGGAGAGTTAACAGATAACAGATAATCAGAGTTGGAAGGGACCTTGTAAGTCATCTAGTCCAACCCCCCGCCCAAGCAGGAGACGCTACACCATTTCTGACAAATGGCAGTCCAGTATCTTCTTGAAAACCTCCAGTGATGGCGCTCCCACAACTTCCAAGGGCAACTTCTGTTCCATTGGTTGATTGTTTTCATTGTCAGAAAGTTTCTCCTTGTTTCCAGGTTGAATCTCTCCTTGTTCAGTTTCCATCCATTGTTCCTTGTCTGACCTTCAGGTACCTTGGAGAATAGCTTGACCCCTTCCTCATCTCTGTGGCAGCCCCTCAAGTATTGGAAGACCGCTCTCCTGTCTCCCCTGATCCTTCTCTTCTTTAGACTAGCCAGGCCCAGTTCCTGTAACCGTTCTTTGTATGTTTTAGTCTCCAGTCCCCTAATCATCCTGGTTGCTCTTCTCTGTACTTTTTCTAGAGGCTCAACATCTTTTTTATAGTTCTGGGAGTTGAAATCCACAAGTCTTAAACTTGCCAAGTTTGGGGACCCCTGCTTTAATAGGTTCCCTTTTAAATGAAGTGCTTTCAAGGTTGGGGTCTCAGCCCCTCAGAATCACTCATCCCGTCTGGCTGCTGCTACCATATGTGCAGACAGATGAATGACCCCTTTACTACCCATAGCTGCTCAAGCATGCTGCATTTTTCTGGTTTGGGGTTTAGCGGTGAACATTTTGGCTGCTCCAACAGCGCCTCCTCCTCTCTTGCTCAGAATTAAACGAGGGCATCCAGGTTGAGCTGCCGCTCTTGCCTCAGAAGAAAAAGGTGCAGATAGTTTTTCCGAAAAAGGAAATGTCTTCAACTTTTGTCAAAGCTCCTCCCAAGAGCTCAACGGCATCCGTTTCTCCAAAGGCAAAAGGTAAGGAATTATGGACGTGGTCAGGACTAGAATTAGAATTAGAATTAGAATTAGAATTAGAATTAGAATTAGAATTAGAATTAGAATTAGAATT